AATAATGGTTGTTTTGTGATGGTATCAAAGGAAATTCCAAGGGGAAATGTCATAGAGTATAATAGTATAGTATATACATTTAAAAACAAAACAAACACATTGTTATTGCATCCCTGCTTTGTAGCTGAAAACCTGTGCATTAAGGATGGACTAAGACTAAGGATGGACTTTTGGGAGAAGTTCTCAAAGTTCAACATGTGAGTCGGATAGCCCAAATATATCTACAAAATGCTTTAAGATACATTCTCTACAAAGTGCTGTGGAAGACTCTATTCAAATAGCCCAAGTATCTCTATCGTCACACTCGACTCAAAGGCCAAAAAATATATACAAAATGTTCCGCATATATACAATCTCTACAAAATGCTCTTCAACATTTGAGTCAAATACCCTAAAAGTCTCTACAAAATGCATTATATATCTACAAGATGCTTTGGAAGAGTCGACTCAAATAGCCCAAAATTCCCTACAACATGAGACCTTCAATTGTTTTCCTACAACATGACATGTCAAATGCATTAAAACAATACAAAATGCAGGGCCTTGACGTCACTGTTTTGTCGACAAAATGGCTGGTGTGGGTTGAGCCTATAAAATCACCTCTACAAAATGACGTGGACAGTAAAACGGGGTGCCATTTTGTAGAGACCAAAAATGAGTTGTCTACAAAATGTTCTATAATGCTCTACAGTGGCCTCGAGGCCCACCATTTTGTAGAGAAAATTTTGACGGGGATACAAACATGAAACTATCGAAAAAAAAAATGCAACTCCACACCGTATAGACTGTGTTGTTGTCGATGATTCCACCGGCCTTCGCCCTGATATCAAGCTCACTTCCACCGAGCGATCGCCTTGAAACATCACCGTGCAAGGTCAGAATGCAATGCTCTTGGTTTTGGGCGGGGCTGGAGTGGCAGGGGTTGAGATAAGTAGTTTGCGTGGGAGCGGGGTCTGAATGAAAGGTTTCCACACTCAGAGTGATAGGTTCCCCGCTGTAAAAATGCTGCAGTCATAAGATTCTCAAACAGCGTCCCCGTTGCTTTCGCCGAGCAATATCAGACAAACATACAAAATAAAGCAAAAACATATAGGACTGGCAAAACGGTCCCAGGACTTTGCTCGAACAACGTAAATTCTACCGTCAGCAAAGCGGGTTCTGGGCTGTGGACTTCACACTATAGTCCCAAACAAACAGCTTGCTGCATAGCTCGCCTGGCCCATTCATAGCTCCTCCTTGCGGCGTGGTAAGCTCCTGTTCGGAAAGCTGACAACTACTTGGATCCAGCTGTCTCACAGGTAGGAACCCAAGGCACCCAACTATCCTTGGCAGCTAGGCTAGGCTTGAAAGAAAACATAATTAATATATGCGTAAATACAAAGGGGGTGCCACCCAAACAGAAACATCTACCCTGTTTGAATGATTTGGAGGAATTTACAATGCTTTAAAGCCATAGTTCAATGTCGTTTAACGCATTTGTTTCGTGTGGCTTTATGTAGCAGCAGGGGTGCCATATACTTGGTGGATCGTTTTGGGTTGCGGAACTTAAACGTGACTTATATCCAAGCGGTACCATAGTTACAAAATTCTTTAGTTCAACAGTTTTGTAGGTTCGCTAGTTTATTTATGCTGCATTTGTGTCATTTGCAGGACTAAAGCAACTTAGCATTTTCCATAGAGTAAGTACCGTTATAAGACCTATAGGCCCATTGGCAAAACAACTTGCAATTAACTTAGAAAACATTGTCTATCCATTGATGAATGTGAGTTTGTCCTTTTCACTTCTGTCTCAAAACTCAATGATGTTTCATGTTTCCAATTTTATTGATTTTGTTGTTTGGTTTGGACGGACTGAAACTTTGCGCTTGCCATCAAGCTTTGCTTTGATATGGTGAGCCACCTCTTGTCTTTCTGGCAGAACAGCGACAGAATAGCCATAAAGCAACCAAACATCTACAAAGCTGCAGGGCAAACTTAAACATAGTGGCCTTTTGATGCGGTCTCCTGGGCAACGAAATCAAAGTTGTAAGAGACACTGAAGCCTATAGTGACTGCATGGAGTTGGCGGCATAGATGCCCAGAAGGCAACCCAACATCCCAAGGGGTTTATACAATAGACACAAAAGCAACACAAATCACCAGTGGCCATCAAAAGAACAGAAGACCTCACCAAACAAAATGCCGGGAAAAGCTATCAAAGGATATCAAAGGTAAAGTCGAGACAGGCACCACATATACACGCAAGTATTGCTGCCCGGCATGATCGCAAAACAACTATACATTCATGTTGAAACCCTATCATAGTCCAGGGGTCACTTTGGCGGGGAAGGGCCTACACATGTCAATGGTATGAGAGGTACCAACAGTTCATAACAGTTGATGGGTTGAAGGGGTTGCTCCTGAGATAGCTGGTTGCCACCATACAGGATCAACAATGCCCGCGCCAGCTGCTGTGGTTGTGCGATGGGCAACGGGAATGGATCCAATGCTTCCAATCCCTTCTCACCCTTCCTTCGCAATGCTTCGGACAGGTACACCAAGGGAGCACACTCTTGGCTCTCCAGCAGATTATGGCCTCCTCGCCTTCTTGCAAGTGGGCGGGATGACTCAAGCAAGCGACCTGTGAGCTCGGCCTCAACAAGCGACGTCCAGTCTTGGCAAAGGATGAGACGAAGACCTTCAGCGTACTGAATCCACTGATCATCATGAAGATCTCTACCACGATGGACCAAACGCAGCTGCCACTCGTGCAAATTGGGATTCTGACGAGTAAGCTTTAGCCAGTTCAGTGCCAAAGAACGAAAGCCTCTAACATTCATCACAATGACTGGTGGAAGCGGCACACATGACGCCATGCATTGCACAAGTTGCACCACTTGCCTCAAAGCAAACGGAACCAAAAAAGGTGATACTTCTCGGGGTGTCTTTGCAAGCCTCCAGAGAAACGACTCGACTTTCATTTCCTCAATGAACTCTTGAAAGCAGCTGACTATGTCCGCACGTTGCCACCGAGAAAGTGGAGTAGGGGGAGGAAGTAGAATCACCCAAACACTGCCCTTTCCAATCAGGACGCATGGGTCGTGGATACCAAGAGCAGCGCAACCCTTTTGAATACATGTGGCCAATCTGTTTGCTTGAGTTGCAGTCAAGCTTGGGGTGTCGGAAGAGCAAAAGACGTATGCCGCTTCAAACACATGTTGCAGCTCTTCAGTTGGGATCTCTTTGTAGTAGGCTCCGCACTGATCCAGAAGGTTTTGGACAGCAAGCACATCAACATCACAACCATTCTTTTCCTCGCAACTCTTGCACGCATCAAAGACAATCTCTAGAAAGGAATCAGGAAGATTCAGCATCTGCTGAAAGTCAGTGGATGTAGACGTCTGCACACTGCTCTGACTCAGGAAATGCAACAGTTGTGGCAAAGCAGGCTGTGACAAAAAATGTTTCCAAAAATGGAATGTGCCCCATTCCTGTGCAGTATGCATGCTGAGAACTTTTGCAACCTGTTGCCTTATCTGTTCATACCTGCCCGGTAATGGCTCCACATTTTGCCTCAATTGATGGTGCGCTAATCTCCGTAGATGCAGTCGAAGCAAGCTTGCGGACTCCCAATGTTGAAGGTCGCCATCATTAAGGCGATCTGGCATGCAAGGCTTGCCACTCAAGAACTCCATTCTAGTCGCCATAGCCTTGCGCGGATGCCAAGAAGGTTGGAGCTCTCCAATGGTGAGGAACTCGGCCTCGTATTCCAAAGCATCCAATAAAGAACTCACATACTGGGGCTCTTTGTGCAGCAGGTACCCAAGGCACTCTGCAAAAAGGCATGAATCTTCCATAGATGTTCCATCATCACATGCATAAAAGAAAACCTCAGTTGATCAGGGATAGCTATAACTTTTGGGGTATCTGGTTTTATGCAAGACTTGATGAGGAAGCACTGTATATGTAGCACCAATTGGAAAAGTGATAGCCCAAAAACCCTACACAGTCCATACATCTCATCCTGACATGTGACTTTGGAGTACCTCCCTGACAGTCAAAGACAACAAAATGATTGTCGGCCAACCTTCATACTCGCCACCTGCAAGGCTGGTCAACCCCGACGGCCTATGATACATAAATAATCATACGATCTTTTCTGAGCCCACCCGCACACTTAAATAGTAATCACATACACGGACCCTCCTACTTGGACCTTGCCTTTGTGAGATTTCCCAGGGAGGGTGCAGTAAGTTGCTGGCAGTTAGAACCAACCAAAATCAACTACTGCACTTAGCACAATTAATGGCACTTAGAAAAACGATTGATAAGCAAATCTAACACGTAATTCCCCGGGCTGTGTGGATTTAGAATTCAGACTAATTCCGATTTACACACAGTTGCATCAAATGCTTTTAATCAACTATTAGGTGCTCTACAAATATCTGAGGAGCGGCAACGCAGCTCGCGCAGGCAAACTCTACATTCTGCAACAATGGCTTATATCATTTACATACTGCATGTTGCTTTGCGGTAAGCAACTAGAAACTTGCTAATTCTGAAAACAAAACTGAAATATGTACATAGATAGTGCATATATAGTGCATATTCTGAGAGTTGGCAATCTGCGCAGTGTCCTTGTGAGGAGGTTCATGTACTAGGATGGTCCATGTAATGCAGTGTGACTACTACATACGGTTGAATGGACCATTCATGTATACCTCGATGTGAGATGTGTGCCTGTATGATTGAAGTGAGGTGTCAAAGGGTTGGGTTCAGGCTAGTCTCGCGTGTGAAGCTCTAGTCAATAGAGATTCCAGCTACGCAAGGCTCTAGCAGGATACAAGTAAACCTACGTAGCCGGCCCACCCCGGCCCTCCACAGAGCAAAATACAGTGAACATCTATAGACTATATGACACTATCACCGAGAGCTGAGAGCTGCCCCTGGACCTGCCACCTATTAAATGTCGCAAACAGAAACAAAAACAACCTCGTTAGCCTCGCAACACACTTTTGCACTTTTTGGTTTCTGTCCAGTCACATAGTTGTTCTTGCGATCATCAGTAGAAGGAGTACCGTGTTCGCGAAAATGTTCCAAATACACTTCAACAATAGCTGTCGGGGCAGAGTTCATGAAGCTGGGTCGGCAGGCCGCGACCATGACGAGAACGTCCACACTGTCGTGATCACCGAGAACTTGTCGGACCAAATGCTCCAAATGGAAATACTCTTCTTTCCACTGAAGTCCTCCTGGGAACACCAGCGTGCCAGCTCTGCTGCAGTCGTCCATATATGCATGCCCTCCGTAATACACCAACAGCTTGGACCCCCTTTTTAGCTTTGCTGCGGCTTCCCGAAGGGAGTTCTCAATGGAGCGTCTGCTGCGATGGTGCTTCGAATGCCTTGGACTAGCTCAATGGATGCGTGGAGGAGAAGGACTGGATTCTGTCTCAACACAACACATGCCAACACCAAACAAATGTTCTTATTAGTTCTTATATATACCCTGGGAGTCGAAGCACGTTAAATATATAGCCTTAAGACCTCGCACGTTATTTGGTAGGTAACGGACGTTTTATGTTTCTGAGAGCCGGCTCTTGCTTTCAGCGCTGGAGAATGCTGCAGAGATCAGGTCAAGGAGAGATGGGGTCAAGGAGAAAGCACCCAAAATGATAATAAACTTCAGAATCCCAACAGCCCAGTATCTCTCAAGATCTTTTGCGTGCGATGCGTGTGAAGCGCTGGTTCGCCATGCTTTGGTGAAACCGCGCTGTGCTCTGGAAGCTTCGATGTGCCTAGACAGCATGAAACCATCTATGGGATTCTATGGGTGATCTTCGCCATGCTTTAGGGGATCTCATCCAGCAACATTCTTAGGCCCACTGCAATGAGATCAAAAGCCCTCAGAAAACGTCCAACCCTCAGTAGAACCAAGACTTCACTCTTTTTGAAATCAGATTCTCGCCCAGGTGCGTTGGAATTGGAACATGATGAACATATCATTATAGTTGATGAGATTGATGGAGGTGGGACGCGGTGGCACCTGTCAATTCTTCTTTCAAAGTGTTTCAGTGGTGTGTTGTGGTATGCTTGATTCCTGCAAGCTCAAGAGTGGGTGTCTTATACTTGGAAGTTGTTTGGTTCGATTTGATCACTTAGTGCCTTTGGCTTTTCCACTTGGGTGGCCATGTCGGGCACACCAAAGCGCGTGGACCCAGAGAGAGTGGAGCTGCTTCAGGCCAGGGCATCAACCCACAGTTGGAACAAATTATCCCTTAAACGTTATGATGAGAGGGCCTGGGGTTGGAGTGGTCTTTTGGGCAGGTCTTCTTTGGTGAGCTCGTTAGCCAACCTGATTTCATTCCTGATCGTCGGAAGCTCCTACGACTTCGCGCGGGGGTGAAAGAGAAGGAAAAACACATGAAGGCCAGCAGTTGCATAGCTCGGCATGATTAGAATCTTTCTAGATCTATTTTACGACCCTGGCCAGATTCCCAAATTCACCTTCGTGATCTTGGATGATGACGAAATTGGAGAAAAAGAGGCTGTTGGGTACTCCATGCATTGATCCAAATATGCTCCACCCCACTTGGGCCATCCCCCACTCGGCCCGCAGATTCAGCAATCTCCCAATTGGGAGTTCGTGATGTCTTACCTGGCGACGTTTTGTGCGGACATGCCCCGACCAAAGGAGGTAGAGGCTGGGTGAGCTTGGAGGTCCCAAATGGAAAAAAAATCAAACGTGGGTTCTCCTACAGGCTGCTTTGCTGTGGTGCTCCAAGCACTACCTTCTGAACCCGTACAAAAAGGAATCTCAGCATTTGGCTGGGATCTGAGTGTTGACTTGCTTGGCCGTGAAGTCACCTCTTTTGAATTGGCTAAGGCTTGGGCAGAAACCGAATCCAAATTGGTGAGGAGCCTGATGTCCTATGCGATGACACGCTTTCAGAGGAATTCTGGGTCTAGGCCTGGTTTCTCCACCAAAATAGTGCGCATGTGGGCGTGTGTGTGAACATGTGTGTGTGTGTGTCCAACCCTGGACAAAGGGTCTTCCACCACCACTCTTTCCCCATTTTCCACCGGCAGGGGGGCAGTGGACCACTATCACTCACTGCCCAACGAAGACAGTGATAGATCGGTCGTGAAACAATGCGGGACGCCGCATTGTGTACCTGCCGAGTTTTTCCACACGCTGTCACCCTACTCTTCCACGACTTGATTCATGGTGGTTCCACATGATCCTTTCCCCACAAACAGGTTTCCCACAGCCACTTTTGCAGCTGATTTGCGCCGCTTCGTCACTGCAGTCAAGGGAAACAACTGTTGTTAAAACACCTACAAATGTCTCCGACTTTCCGCCATGCTGTTCTATCGCCTTCCTTCTCACCGAGACACTTGCGTTAACTGAAAAACCCAAGTTCGAAGTGTGTCCTGCTCAGCCGTCCCACTCGGGTGCTGAGTGTGATCCCCGTCACAGGGGCGCCGTTCTTGCACGGGAAAGCAACCACCCCAACGCACCACCGCTCACTGGAACATCACAGGAAGGCACTGACACCCTCACAGAATCAACCGCCACACCGGCCGCCGGGCCAAAAAACGGTCCTTGAAGAATCTTTCGGATTCCGAATTTCTGATCTCAGATTTCAGCATTCAGTTTTCTTTTCAGGTCTTCCAATCATGTGCATGTTTCTATGTTCGCTATGCTGCTGCCGCGTTTCTTTCATCGACAGAACTCAAGGATGGGCATTACAGCTCTTCAGCTTAATTCGAGATGCATGAACACACACCTACCAACAAGCTCACATTTAGCACCACCTTACAACATACTCACCATTGACACCAGAGATGACACCTTCAACAACAACAACAAGACAATACAACTCGGCACCTCTCCGCTGTTTTTTGCTGCCGCGCCGCGCCGCGCCATAGCTACGACCACGACATGCATTTTCCGTGGCCCTACGCTCACACCACGCCACCGCCATTACCTACCACGCAACCTCAACCCACATGGCCGATACCACAACCATCAACTGCACCCACCTTTCCCTCGACACAACCACCGGCATACCCTCATCCACAACCACAACCATTTCAACCACCACCGTTTCTGTCCAACCCTACCGCCACTGCACTGACCTATGGCACACCATCCACTTGGACTTTTGTCCAACCATGTCACGTGCCACCGCAACCCACACATCCAACTCCAGTGTTTCAGACAGCAGCACCTCCCCCGTCCTACCTGTTGCCACCACCTCAGCCCACACCACCGGCTGAACTTCCTCCCCCCACCACACTGACACATCCCCCTCCAACACAGCAACAGACTGCCATTGCCAATCATCCATCCACAGACCCCCAATACGCCATCCCCCAGGGCGTTTGGCAACCCTATTCAGTTTTTCCCCCCGTCACACAGCCTCCACTCCAACCGTTGCCCCCGCCACCGCCTCCACAAACCATCAACGCCTCAACACCAACCCAACCTCCACCTCAACAGCAGCTACCATCGGATCCAACACCACCGATCCAACCCATCCCCACGACTGCCCAGGACAATCCATTACCAGTCCAAAACACGCCACCACCAGCTACCGTATCCCAACACTCAGCATCCCCATCGCTGGTATCTGCCACACCAGCGCCTGGACCTTCACCACCAGCACCAGACCAACCTGACACCACTGCCTCACCAGCACCGCCACCACCTTCCCCGCAACCACCACGCAGCAGTCGCCGCCACCACCACAAGAGCCGACGAAAGTCCGACCATCACCACAGAGGACGCCACCGCCACCGTCGCCAACATCGCCATCACCGCCACTCCAAACATCACAGCACAACCCGGCGACGGCGGTCGCCTTCAACATCCACCTATACATCTAGCCTTACGCCATCCCGCAGTCGTTCGCCACCACAACCCATCGATCTACGCCCCAACACCGAACACACCAACCCGGACCCCTCTCAATATCCCACCACAGCCGTCCTCCGTCGCCCAATCAACCGTTGGCGACCTCCACCCAACTTTCACACCTTTACACCTGCAGACCAAATCCTGGAATGGCTCGAATTCCACGCCACCCAACTCGACAATCCCAACCGACCACAGCACCAGTACATTGCCAATATCCTCACAGACTGCAACATCACCTACAAGGAGATCAACGATTTCAGACAATACACCCACGCTAAGTGGAACGACACAACTCACCAATACGACCAATTCCAGTACTACGCCATTTCACTTCCTTTCCTCAACAACAAAGCCACCACACCAGAGCCACCTGCGGTTTCCCGCGCCACATCAACCCACCGGGAAATCGCCCACATCAACGCAGGCCACACAGGCCCCGTCGGCAACATTTCCAACATTCTACGCCAAGGCCGTTTTTTACCCAGCACACTCCACTTTGCCAACTACCCTGGATTTTTTGCCCAGGGCGTTCGCATCACCCACAACCAACCCCATGACCACACCGAACTTGCCCGCATCATCCACAACACCTGGCAACTCCACAAGAATTCCCATTCACTTATCATCACACTCCTTGCTTGGGGTGCTGCCACAAAATATACCTCTGGAGGTGAGGAACACGCCATGAACCTCCTTAACGACCACCATGGTGCGGTCTTTCATCAGAAGGGCCGCTGCTGGGTGATCCACCCGGACCACGCCATTGTCAAAGGACTGGCCTGGTCCACCAACTCCACTCCACCGGACCCATAACACCACTACCACACATCTACACACCACTACCACCTCCACATCCACTTTTGGTCTCACACCACCACCCAACCTTTGCTGTAGCAGCAAAAAAGAGCCTCCTGCAGCGGCCACGCAATTTTTCTAGCTCTGCAGTGCCTGCTGAGAACATTTTTCGAATTGTACCGGTTGTTTTGATGGAGTCTTTCACTTGTCAGCTTCTGCATCGTGGAGAGTGATTCATTAAGACATATACTTACTTGTCCAACCGGCATTGAATACTCGCCTTTTTGCCTGTGGGAATTTGATGCTCGCTTAATTCATATGCACGGCCTCGGCATGACGCGCTCCCTCAGACTCGCCGCTGTCCGGCTGCTTTGGCGCGCTGCCGCAGCCACCTGTGACGATTCTTGACCACTGCACAACCCTACATATCAGACTCATGAGCAGTACACCGACACCTCTACAAAACGACACCTCAACTCTAATACACAAAACCGCAGTGGCACTTTCGCAGGTACACAACCTGCTTCGAAAAGCAACCGATATTGTAGCACACCTCCACACGGTTTTCCTCCACCACAGCCACCAAGCGGACCCCACTTTCCGCCAACACTTTCAGCCACTTCCAACTCCGCCCAACCACCCCATACGTTTACCATCCACCACCTCATCCTGTGACTCAGCACCATC